TAGGTGGGGCCTGCCCAGTTTACCTAGGAGGTCGGCCCCTTCATCCACATCCCCGATGACCTCAGAGCCTGCCGTTGACAGCTCGTGGTACAATGAGTCGGTGTTGATGCCAAAAGCTTTGTTCACAATCCCCTGAGTCGGGCTGTTAGGGTGCATAGGCCAGGAGATAGAGCAGAGTCAGGTACCATGAATCTGCTGCATGTCCACCCCCTTCCCGCTTTGCCCAGTGCAGCCAGTCTACACTGACACCACGCTGCAAGTGCAGGTGTGGACAGTAGACAGTGAGAGCAGGAGCTTTACCAAAGGCACCAACTCAGGTGGACACTAAGTCCCCTGGACCCTAGGGCTTGGTCCGAGTTAATACCTGCTTCCTGTGCGGTCTAGGCGGGTCTCCGGACACATGTCCAGCTCTGGGGTGGAGTCGATAATGTCTTGAACGTCAGACCACTCATCACTGCTGCCCATGCCTACGGGAGAGCACAGAGGGACCTGGGGTCAGGAGAGGGTCCAGCCATCTCTGCCCTGCTCACAGCTACCCTCTGAACTCTTATCTGGAGACCCTAAGCTAGACTAGCCACTAGGCTGGGATCATCAGAAAAGGACTCTTCCCTGCTGATTAAGTGACGCAGAACCCCCAAACTGTAAGCATCTGAGGGAGGTAGGGCTGCAGTGTCTGTCTACATGGTATTGTCTGGCAGCAAGTCCATCCCCAGAGTCCCTATGTCTGCATAAGCCACTGAACTGCTCCTTTTCATGATCTAACTGAACAGGCCAATTGTCATTCCCCTTTCTTTCTCTTATTTGTCTGTGTGCTGCTGGGTGACTGGAGTCTACTGTGCCATGCTAAAATGTGTCCCCTCAAATCCACATGGTATGGACAGACCTCTGGTGACTGTATTTGGAGGTGGGGCCTTTAAAGAAGTGGGTAAGTTAAAATGAGGTTACTGATCCAATCTGAGAATATATCCATACAGAGGGACGGCCCTATGAGGATGCAGGGAGGAGGTGTCAATGAGCCACAGAGACAGGCCTCAGAGGAGCCAGCCCTGCCACACCCTGATCTCGGACTTCCAGCCTCCAGACTGTGAGGAAGGACATCTCTGCTGCCCAGGCTGCCCAGCCTGTGGTGTTTGTGATGACAGCCTGAGCAGACTGCTACATCGGCCCAAGGTAAACCTGTACTCAGAAAAAAGTCTCCCCACATCTGTAGTCCCAGCTACTTGGGAGGTTGAGGCAAGAAGATAATCTGAGCCCAAGAGTTTGAGGTTGCTGTGAGCTATGACGCCAAGGCACTATACCGAGGGCGACAAAGTTAGACTCTGTCTCAATTTAAAAAAAAGCTAGCCTTGGATAAGACAGTGCAGAGCTCAGGGACACTGGGACAAGCGCACACCTATGCTCACGTTGCGCATCTCCTGGGTGACCTGGACTTCCATGTTGCGGCTGTTGCGCTTCTCCCGGGCCCGCTTGCTGTTCTTTGTGCCAACCCCATAGCCTCCCAGGGGCTGCAGGCTCTCGTTGAGTGGCGTGACTGCGGCTGAGGGCACAGAGGATGTGGGTGTGTTGGACTTGGTGCCTGTGGTGCTGGGCGTGGCGGCCGCTGAGGACTGGCCGGACTCAGACATCTCATCTTGTGGACACTAGGGCCAAACACAGGGGGAGGGAAAGCGAGTCACTGGGTCCTCATGCCCACGTCTCCCACATGGCCGCCTGAGGCCCTGGCGCTCCGCTTGGCCACTCCGCCGTAGTCAACAGCACCTGCCTGCTCTGCTGGGCCAGGAGTTCCTGCTGCTGCCTGTTGGCTGGTTCTTTCAGCCTAGTCACTCCTAGGTCAATTCATGCATCCAGCTGCTGCCTCTGGCTTCCCAGAGCAGTGCCAGCTTACTTAACCAGTGTGAAGTAGACTTTTGGGCTGCACCCTCCACAGCACGATATGCCAAAGCCTGGTGGGTTGGGGATGGTGCTATCCAGAGGACACTGTAGGCGACCCTTTGCAGCTAGTTGTCAGTCAAAAAAAAGTCACAGCCCAGCCTAGGGCAAAGAATACTAAACAGGGATCCAGGAAAGAGGTCAATCAGGCTGATGCTCCATCTGACCGAGCTAAAATACTGCATGAATCCACTGGTCTTGTCACTGCTGCCCTCCATGGCTACCAGAAGGCTCTGCCTTGGCTCGCATCAGTGGCTGGAAAGGAACCCTGTGGTATACAGCCCCCACTGCCCACCTGGACCAGAGTTCACCCCCAAAACCTAAGACTAATTGGATAAACTAAAATCCCGTTTTTTATACAACAGGCTAGCACCCAAATATTCCCGGGGGGGAGCACAAATTATGAAAAATTGTTATCAACTATTTACCTTAAGAACATCATTGGAGAGGAATACTTTAAAAAAATTTTTTTTATTCTGTCTCCACAGACACTGTCAAAAGTTGCCAGAGCCAACTATGTTGCAAATTGTCCTGGCAGAGCTCAGGGAGGAACAGGTTCCATTTAGATAACATAAGACATGAACAAACACATTCTTTTCCTGATCAAAGTATTGGACAATCTCAAGAAAAATGGCTGCCCATCTAACCACTCTTTTGTTATCCAATATTGATGACCCCCAAATGGCCCTGAGCAGGTCCTCACAGCAGCAGCCTACCCAGCCCTGGGGTACCCCCCTGGCAGGGCAGGAAGGGCAAGGCTGTGCTCCTGGGCAACACCCCCAGGCAGGTGTTGTCCGAGTTGGTAGGCTCCCCAGAGGGCACCTTGGAGGCCTTTCTAATGCTCAGGCTGCTTGCTAGCCCTCTCTGCAGCTGGGTGAACACTGCCCCAACTCAGACCTCCCTCACTGTGTAGAGCAGATGGGGCTCCCAGAAGCCACGAGCTGGCTCTGAGATATACCTTGCTACTTTGCACAAAAGACAGATGTCTGGCTTAATCTACCAGCCTCCTAAGCTTCTGTATAAGGAATCTCAAAATGATACATCTTTCTCCACAGTGCTAGTTCTCAACCAGGGGTGTCTTTGTGCCCAGAGGAGGTTTCTGGGTGTCACAACTGAAGAGGAGGTCCCTAAGACACTAGGGAGTGAGGCCAGAGATACTGTTCAACGCCCTTGGGTGCCCAGGAAGCCCATAGCTAAGCACGTTCCAGTCCCAAATGTCACCTGCACTGAGGTGAGAACCCTCACACCACACCTATCTGCCTCCCATGGATGTGGCTTTGTGTAAACATCTTACATTTGGATTCCAATGCTGCGGCTTAAGCTTTATTTGAGAAGAGCAAAACCCTTTCCTCCTCTTACCACCACCAAGGCCAGAGTAAGGGTCTCTCACACTGAAAGTCTCTGTGATGAAGCTTTCAAAGAACCTTGCCAGCCCCACATATTAGAGGCACCCAGGTATCCACTTGGGCAGGACCCTCTGCCACCACCCAGCAGAGGGAGGCAGGGAATTTCACGCAGGCCAGGTGGGGACCAGGTGAATGGCTGAGACTTGGTGCTGGACCACCATCCTTATGGCCTATCCCCAGGCTGTTGGTAACCTTCATGATGATGGGGCAGGTCTGTAGTCTGACCGTGCTTCTTCTTGGTTCCCCTAGCTCTCCCTCACCCTGAGGGGCCACCACTTACCCATGGGATACTGCCCCTGGTCACAACTTACCTACAGGCAAACCTCTCAACCTCCTAAACATCAACGTGGAACAGTGACCTCCAAATGCAAAGAACCCAAACTCTTAGCGGTCATTCCTCACCATGAGTAGCCACAACTGTTTGGTTAAAACACTGAAAATACAGTACATAAAAACAAAAAACAAAACAAAACAAAAAACAACAAAAAATTAAGAAATTAGAAAAACTTTAAAACCTAGAGCATAAAATAAAAAGAACTTAGATGTAATTATTTTTTAAAAAGAAAAATAAAATAAAATATACCTATGAACTAAAACATAAAACACTACAGTTTATGAAAAGAAAGACTATCTTAGACAATGCAGAGGTGAAAGAAAAGACACTGTGAAAGAATAGCCACACCAGACACAGACATGAGGAGGGGAGTCTGGGCCAAAGGGTCAGGCAAGAGCCTGTTAGGGCTTTCTGAGATTCACGTGGCTTCTTCTAATACTTACAGGGCAGGTCCCAGCTACAGGCCCCACATGAGCCACTGTAACTGGCAGGGCCAAGGAAGCCAGGTCCCACAGGCCTTGCTGACTCCTTCCCTGTGCACATGGCACAAAGAATAGGGGACAAATATCCCAAATGTCTCAGACATGCCACTCCCCAGAGCAAACTCAGAAGCAGGGCCCCTTTCTGACAGAGCTGGCAGTCTGCAGCAGCCTCCTGCAGGCAAGCTGGACACTCAGAGGAGGAAGGACAGTTGGCAAAGAATGCAGCAGGAAAGAAGCTGCCAGAGAAGCCCTGGCCCCACATCCTTCAGCCCAACTATACTGGAGGCCCAGGGCCTTTGCCTCTATGGCATCCTCCAATGGCTTCCACGGAAGAGCCACCCTAGGAAGGTGGCGAACTCTACCTGGCAATGGGGCCAGAGGTCTGTCCTGAGATAGCCTGCCTCCCCTGGCCTGAGTTCCCAGATCAAAGCCAGCGGCCAGTGACCTCTGGCCCCACAAGCTGGGGTTAGTTCAGTGGGTAGCTATGTATACCTTGGTGGGTGGGTGGGGGAGGTCTGTCTTCTCAAACTCAGAAGCTGAGGAGGTGTGACCAAGGACAAGCAGAGCAGAGCCTGGCACAGAGGCATGACCTCCTTGCCTTTGCTTTCTCTCAGCAAGTGCAGACCTTAGTCCGGACATTTCTCTCTCTTAGGAACAGAATACGGTTGGGCTGGGGGTTAATCTGAGGGTGATGCTTGTATTTTGGGGTGTGGTTTGGCAGAAGGCCACTAAGCTCAGCCCTGATAGACATTGGGTACCCCTGGCCACAGAGTAGCCTATTCAAGAAACAGAGAGGTCTAGTCCAGACTAGAAGGGGCCACACAAGGCCATGCAGAGTAGCTGTGGCAGCACAGGGCCTGCTGTGTGGCCCGAGTCTCCACATAGGCCTGATTCGTCTCCCTATTTCTGTCTCGTGTCAGGGCAAAGGTGGATTAGCCCAGGAAGAGCTGCAAAGGGTAGTTTGCAAAGACAGGGATTCTGCCTGAACAGACATGGGGCACCGCCAGCGACGGGGAGGAGACCCTCACTGCACGGCACGGCTACAAAACCTGGTAGTTGGAGCTGGACTGCAGCTGGCCGAGGTCACTCAGATGCCAGTGGTCCCCCGCAGGCACGAGCTTGCCCCCCATCTGTGCACGTACCATGCCGTCCGCCAGGGGGAAGACATTCAGAGAGGTGGGGCGCTCCTTCCTGCTGGTATGTGGGGGAGAGGAGAGGAAGCAGTGTTAGAGGCGGCTACAAAACAAACAGAACCTTCCAGCTGATCACGCTTCTTCATAGCATCACACACCCCCCCCCCCATTATGCTTGATTTACTATTTTTATTTAGTTCAGTTTTAATAGTGCTGAAAAGCCCTGCGGACTGTCCTGGCCATGCTGACTAGAACCCTGGGTGGTGACTTTCAGATGCAGATCTTTCTTGTGTAGCACCCAGACATGCCTCCTGTGATGTTGCCACCAGCCCCACCTCTGACCCTAGGGCCAGCAGAGAGCATCTACCCTTCCCAGTCCTTTGTTCCTTGCCCTCCTCCTGCCCCTCTTTAGTGGCTTTTTTTTTTTTTGAGACTCACTTTGTCAACCTTGATAGAGTGCCATGGCGTTATAGTGCATAGCAACCTCAAACTCTTGGGCCCAAGCAATTCTCTTGCCTCAGCCTCCCAAGTAGCTGGGACTACAGGTGCTCACCACAACACCCAGTTGTTTTTTTAGAGATGGGGTTTTGCTCTGGCTCAGGCTGTCTCGAACCTGTGAGCTCAGATAATTCAACTGCCTTGGCCTCCTAGAGCACTAGGAATACAGGTGTGAGCTACCATGCCCAGCCAATGGTTAGTGTTTTTAACATGAGGCCTTATCATTGCAAAATGTTTGAGAAAGACATATTCAGAGTAAAGAGCATCCCCATATTTGCTGGAGCCCAAGGGGCACCCCTCCCTCTTCCCCAGCTGTTTCAGAGCTGACACCTAGGACAAAGGCTTGCTAAGGAAGGAGTGTTTGGGAGGCTGGAGCTGGAAGAGGCAGCCTCAGTGTGCCATGTGGGCTCAGACCTGAGGAAGGCCTTTTGCGGGCTGTGAAATGTGAGGACAGAGACCTGAGTTCCCATTTCACATGATCTATTGGAGGCTTCAAATCAGGTCGGCCCAGATGACAGAGACCAGGGCCAGCTCCCTGACAACCCCAGCTGGGAGGCAGGTCTCATAGGAGCCCCCACTGCCTCCAGCTGTTTAGGCATAGAATTACTCAGCTCTTGACATAGCCTCTGAGGCTCAAATCTCAGCCTCCAAGCATCGCAGGAAGGGGTACTCCTCAGGAGTCCCAAGGATGAGAAGGATGGGGGAGGGAGCGCACTGGCCACCACTGACTAATGTGGCTAGGTGGGCAACTTTATGACGTAGGGTTCTGGGAAGAGGTTTCTCTCTGGATGGAGGGCACACACAGTCCTAGGGCCAAGCCAGCTGGTCTATCCTGTTCAGTAGGATGCTGTTACCTGGAACATGAAGGTCCCTGGACCTGCTAGGACCTGGCAGTGCCATCTTACTGGTCTGTGGCAGGGACAGAGGCAGGGGAGCTGCACAGGGGCGCTCACTCAGGCTAAACCCACCCAGAGGGCAGTTTCCTGTTAATGTGCGCACAGCAGGTGGCTATTCTTAGACATGTCTAAACTGGGATCATAAAGAAGGATGTTGGAATTGGGAAGCTCTGGATATGCATATCTATCAAAACTCAGTGGGTCTCATGGCTCCACTCTCACTCTAGCTGCTCTCTGACCACGGCTGTGAGAGGGCACACACAGTCCTGGGGCCCAGATTGACCCCACTGGGCACTTATAATCATGACCTTGGTGATATGCACATAGCGGGCCCCCAGATCCAAGCCTTGACAAGCCAGTATAGTCTTGGCTATTGCCAGATGTTATAGGGTGATAGTAGGGAGCAGAATGGGGCCCATCTTGGGGGTAAGGGGTGTACTCATAGCTCCCCTGCCCACAGCCCAGTGCTAGGATACATCCCCATGCTCAGACAAGATGCTACCTCTGTTGTCTTTCCTTTGATCCTCCCTATAAAATCCCACCAGGGCTGGTCTCCAAGCCTGGTGAGTACCCAGGGTACTGCCTACTGTCTGGGTGTCTGAGCTTGAGAAACCTCATAGCTTTCTTGGGGGGATGTGAGTGACCTCTCCTTCTGACACCCTTGCCCATCCTTGTGGGTCAAGTCATCCACAGAAGTCACACTACCCAAGTAGGTCAACATTATGCCACTCACTCTGGGTACCATGCTAGGCACCAAGGGACCAAGATGGACATGATGCCAGGGTGGAGGCCCTTCACCCATCCATCATGCCTGGGTCAGTGCCAATCTGTAGCTAGAGCAGGCACTTGTTGAGTGAGCAGGAGAAAAAGTTGGGCCAGGACAGAGCAAGGAGCCCAGCACTACTGCCCTACTCTGTGGCTGTGCCAGTGTCTGGTCTGCTACCTCCTCAGTGTCAATCTCATAAGTGCAACTGGCCAGGACTGCTCATCTGTAACATCAGCTGCCAAAGGTATCTGACGTGGACTAAAGAGCCATCCTGTGCTTCTAATTATAGCAATTGGCCTCTTGGCTGTCCCCTTGGAAACCCAAGCCCAAGGTGATGTCCACGGGATGCCCAGGCACTGCACAGCTTTACCTTTTCCTCCACGACTGGCGAGGACTGAGGGGCAGCAATAGACACAACGGCCAGCACACAGCAGCGACAGCACAGAGGGCAAGACAAGAAGACAGCCATTTTAGAGCAAAGGTCATGAACATGTGCACGCACGCTTACAATGAAGTCAGATGATAACAGCAAGACACTTAGGGCCCTATAAGACAGACAGGTCACACACAGATGTCTACAAGGGACAGACATGTGACACAAACCCTCTGGGCTTCAAAAGAAGGCTTTGAAGGGGGCTTGTAGAACAGGTCAGCAAGTGACAAACATCCCCATTGCAGAGTGGACAGCGAATGTTCCCCCTTAGACAGGCCCAGCACACGTGCACACAGCATGCGGATGACAACACACATACATGCTCCTGCTCATGTGGCCTCTGCAGAGTGATGGCCCCCCCAACACTAATCAGTTTATTCTAATGACACAGACTCAGAAAACCAAGCCAGGAGTGAAGGAAAATGCTTGTCTGTGGTCAGGAGTATTAGCTGCTCAGTGCCGTGGACACCCTCACGGCCCTCAGAGGGGAGATGGGGGTCTGGGCTAAAGCAGATGGGACAGACTCAAATCTCTGTCCCCCAAGAGATCACAGGGTCTCTGCCAGAGAAGAAAGAAGACTCTGGTGGAGGGGAAGGTCATTCCCCATAGCTGCTGACACAGCAACAGCAAAGGGTCCAGCAGCCTGAGCCCTGCAATCTGCAGTTGAGGACAGCAAAGGGGCTGTGCTTTCCTTATCTCAACCAGCTCTTCCCCTTAGAGATGTGCGGCTGTGGCTGCTGTCCCCATTTGGGGTGGGTGGCAGGCAGGCATGGTGCACCCCAACCATCTTGTTCCCAGCTGGGGAAGGCCTAGCCTGGGAGGCTTCTGATGACGGCTGTTGCATTAGGGCAGACAGTTTTCAAGGGCTGGCTGGGCAGGAGACAGGGGAGGGGGTGCGGTAGCCAGGCCACACAATCCCTTCACAGCTAAGCTGCCGATGCACAGGAAGATGGCGGCCACCAGCCCTGGTCAGTTCTGACATACTATAGAGACTCTGGCTCATAGCAGAGCCACCAGGGGTCTAGGAACCAAAGTGACACAGCTGTTCACATCTGGTCTCGCAGGCCCCCTTCTGGCAGGATCAAATATGGTGGCAACCAAGGCTTTAGCATTAATCTGGGCAAAAGACCTTCCCCTCCTGGATAGGTGGGTCTGTGAATCCTGAGTCATGAACAGAGGGTCTCTTAGGGGCCTTGGCTGAGTGTGATGAAAGCCCCTGCCAGGCAGCCAGTACAGCCCTGTCACTCTTGCTGATGGCCCCAAGGCCCTGGATTCACAGAGGAGGCAAGAGCCTGAGGCTAGGCAGCAGCACGGACAGAACAGACCCACAGATCCACCCCTCACATGATGGATGGGGAGGTAGTCTAACAACAGAGCCTTCAGGAGCCACCACGCAGCTGCAGAAGGGAAGGGACCAAATGAGCAAGGCCTGGAGCATCCTGAAGTCCTGACGAGGAGGGGCAGCACCAGCTGCAGGATGGCCTGCCATGGGCAGGAGCCCAGTACTCAGAACCCAGAACCCAGGGGCTGGGCTGTGCTTGCTGCAGACTCTGCCCAGGGCTATGGGTCCCTGCTTGGGCCCTACACCACCTCACCATGGAGAGGCCCTGTAAATGGTAGGGATCTGGAGGCCTGACCTGGCCCACAGGAATGGGATGTAACCTTCAGGGGATGGCTGAGTTCATATAGCCTTAAGGTTCCAAGGACACTCGTGGCCCGCCGTCCTCAGTCCTAGAGTTACACCTTTTAGCCCCTCAGGATAGACAGGATACTCAGCTCTCTCTGGCTCGCCCTGTATAGGTGCTGAGGCATCTTCCTCCTGATGGGTGAGCCTCCTCTTGGAAGGCTATAGCTCTGGGGACCTGCCAAGGCCCTGCCTCTGCTGCTACTCAGATTAGTTGGTTCAGCTCCCACAAAAACAGCACCAAGACTGCTGATTCCAGGTTAGATTGTTATTCCAGTTATGTTGAAATCCTCTTGCTATTTTTGAATACCAGAAGTAAGGATTTCAATGTGTGAAGGAGAAAATACCCTAAGCTATGAAATGGTAGCCTGGAAATTAGTATTTCCTATTCTCAAACACAATTAAACATCTGAAAGGTCTTATGTTTTACCCAGCTCTTTTGTTAGTTATTTAATTTCATCACTTCATTTAATTCTGGAAATGTTTTGGGGTCAGCTAATAAGCAGCCTATGCCCCTGCTCTAAGGACTGGCATTTGTTGTGAGCCGCTGTAGATCCCAAGGCCTGTAAAGAGCAGTAAGTCTGGGTCTAGAGCTTCCAGGCCCTTGGCCCCTTTCCCCTGCCCAGTCTTCTCCCACACTGTGCCTTTGGTTTTCAGAAGACTCAAGTACAGAATCCAGACATTTTGCTTACAATTACCCAGAAAGTGACTGACAAAGCCCCAAGTTGAACATCCTGAACCTTCTGGTCTGCAGACACAACTACAGATCAGATAGGCATGAAGGAAAACTTTATATGATGTAACCAGAGGCTTTCTCCATCACAGTCCTAGCTTCAGGAGGCTCAGCTACAGGAATAAGGCCTGGCTCTGTGGGATGGGGGGGGGGGGTTCCAACTTCAGGCCCTTCCTCCCCCTGATGGAAACTCAGAACATCAGTCTTCTGCCCAGGAGGCTGCCTCCTCTGGTTTCCCTCAGGCCAGAGCCCTTGAGCTTGTGCTAACCCCTGAATGAAAGTGTTGACATTCTACTCCCTGGGGTCTGAAGTCCAGTTTTATTTTGACTCAGGGGGCACAGAAAATGGAGAAGGAGTGATCTTGGTAGGCTTCTTTCCACTCGCCAAGTCACACCAGCACCAAGTCCTCAATCAGGCTGAGCCGAGGCCTCACAATCTGCTGCCATGGTCTGCCATGTAGCAAGACAAGGCTCTGTGTAGGGCTGATCAAGACATACCAGCCTCCCTCTCTCTCCATCCACACAGAGCTGGTTATTTGAGGTGGGATATTCTAGAAAGTCAGCTCAAGCATTGAATTAGCGAACACTAAACGTACACATTTAGGTACATAACTATTTCCCACAGATTGCAATCTTAAATCCTGAAAACAACTCATCCCGGTCCATTCTATTTATTTATTTTTATTTTACAAAAAAGAAAGCAAGGTCTAAAGCACAGGGTGTCGGGCCCAAGCTACACCACAGACAGGTGCTGCAACTGGGCTTTAAGACCCACTTAACAATCCTGAGTTCCAGCTTCCTGCAGGACTCTCCACCCCAGGGAACTGTAGTATGGGGCTAAACAATAGGCAAGGCGTCACCTTGGCCAAGTACTGCACCTGGACTCAAACTTCTCCTCGCTCTTTGAATGTCAGCAAATAACAAGAAAAAGCCCTGTACTGATTCTGAGGTTACAAATATATTCCAGCGAGTCCACAAATTCACAAACACAGAACCCGTGAGTAATGAGGATGGACAGCCTGCGGGTCTCCCTGACTGAGCTGGGGGCCATGCCCGAGGCATACACTGGCTCCACACAAGCTGGTCACATGCCCCTTAGGACCTGGGCAGGCTCTGCACATACTCCAGCAAGCGCTCCCATAGGCTCCCTCCTCCAGGGTTAGAGGGGAGTGGAGCTGCTCTTGTTCCCCTGATGCTAGAGCACCTGCAAGCATGGTGACTAGACTCTGCAGCTCTGCCCGCCACCGTACCTCCTCCCCGGCAGGCTGCTCTCCGTCTGGCTGTTTCCCCCAACTTGCTGCATCTTGGATCTCTCGATATGCTCCACGTAGGTCTGTATCATCTGTGGGGAGCAAACCTCTGAGTTAGTGCTGGCTGTTGCCTACAGCTCTCTCCTTCCCTGTCTAACCTGCCAGGGTTCTCTCCTGTGCTACGTCTGGCAGAAACACAGACAAAGTGGAGATCTGTCCAGCACAGGGCTGACAGCTCTGAGGTCTGGCAGCAAAATGCCAGAAAAAGAAAATGCTAGAGAAAGCAACTAAAGTCAGTGCTGGGTCGCAGGCGCTAGGCTGCAACCTGCTCTCGTGCCCCTCCCCATACCTGCCCTCTGGGTCAGCAGTCAGCTCGCCAGGTACCCACCTCCGTGTGTCGCTGGTGCAGGGCATTGTATTCCTTCTTCATCTCCGACTCCCGCTCCTCCAACCGGGAAACTGGAAAACACAACCATGGCTTGTGGAGCACACAGCTGCTTGTCCACAGCTCTGTGCTCCTCTGGGTTGCACCCACTGGAGGACAGAAGGGTCGGGACAAGCCCTGATTCTGTAAGAATCCTCTGGGGGTGCTAGAAAGCAGATCTGGGTGGCATATTCTAGGTGCCATGAGAATATTCAATTCTGCCATGAAGAAAAACAGGATGCAGAAACTCACAAAAGCTATCTGTACTCAAATCAGCATGGGGCTTCTGAGACGTGGATAAAGCTCACCGATGTGCCAAGTACAGGGAGAGTGTGAGGGAGAAATGGTAGAAAACAGCAGAGTTCAAAGTGCGTAACCTCTGACATGTTGAAGGGCGACAGAACATTGGAAGCACATGAAGAAACTAAAGGCGCGGTTCCTACATGCACCAAGTGCTGGGGAGACTGAGTCACAGCCATCCCCCCTCTAGGCTGACAGTCAAGCCTCCCCTAAATGGGTGGCCCTAAATGGGTGAATGCTCTGCCCAAGAGAAACAGGTCTGTCCCCTGCTGGCACTGTCCTCGGTTCACAACCCTTGTCAGCTTCCTGGTGTTTGTTTTCAATTGACTTCACAAATTACATGGTTCAACATCCCATTCTGGCTAGTTCTCCTGCTTATGGCTACTCCTGGAGGCCAGTACTGCCCATCTGAGCATCTGCATCGTATCATGCCCCAGGGGACACTAATACCGTGGTGTGCGGACCCCACTCTGAGGAACAACATGGGTGTCAGAGTCCATATGATCTTCCCACAAGGAACCCGAGTAGTTACACACACTGCATACAACATGTGTGACTTGTAGACCCCGCCTATAATACATATGACTTACAGGCACTGCACACCACACGTATGACTTATATGAACTGTAAGCAGCATGTATGACTTGTAGACACTGCACAAACATATGACTTACTGGCACCACACACAACACATATGACTTATAGACACTACACACATACGAATTTCAGGCACTGCATACCACATATATGATTTACAGGCACTGCATACAACACGTATGACTTATAGACATTGCACACACCTGACTTACAGGCACCACAAACTACACATATGACTTTTAGGCACTGCACACAATACATATAACTTGTAGACAGTGTACACACATATGATTACAGGCACTGCACACCACACATCTGATTTACAGGCACTGCACACCACACGTATGACTTATAAGCACCGCACACAACACATATGACTTATAGGCACCGCACACCACACACATGACTTACAGGCACCATACACAGCACATATGACTTACAGGCACTGTATGCAGCATGTCTGACTTATATACAGTGCACACACATCTGACTTACAGGTACCACACACAATCCATATGACACAGGCACCACATGCAACACATATGACTTAAACACACTGCACACACATATGACTTACACGTACTACACACCACACGTAAGACTTATAGGCACTGGCTCGGCACCTGTGGCTCAAGTGGCTAAGGCATCAGCCACGTACACCCAAGGTGGCGGGTTCGAATCCAGCCCAGGCCCACCAAACAACAATGACAACTGCAACCAAAAAAAAAAATAGCCGGGCGTTGTGGCGGGCGCCTGTGGTCCCAGCTACTTGGGAAGCGGAGGCAGGAGACTCGCTTGAGCCCAGGAGTGGGAGGTTGCTGTGAGCTGAGATGCCACAGCACTCTACCCAGGGGGACAGCTTGAGGCTCCTGTCTCAAAAAAAAAAAAAAAAAAGACTTATAGGCACTGCACACCACACGTTTGATTTATAGACACTGTACACCACACATACAACTTATAGATACTGGCATGTAACATACATATGACTTATACACATTGCACACACATATGACTTACAAGCACCATACACCACACATATGACTTATAGGCACTGCACACCACATTTGATTTCTAGACACTATACACTACATGTATGACTTATAGATACTGGTATGTAACGCACATATAACTTAGACACATTGCATACACATATGACTTACAGGTACCATATACCCACATATGACTTATAGGCACCACATACCACACATTTGATTTATAGACACTGTATACCACACGTATGACTTACAGACACTGGTATGTAACATGCACATGACTGGTAGATATCAGCGTACAATGCATGTGACTGCCAGAGGAGGGAGCAGATGGACCGGCTCTGTCCCTAGCAGGTACTACCTGTGTGTCTATCCCTGGAGGGAACAGTGGAGCTGCTGGGGCAGGAGTGGAGCCACTGCCTGGTCAAAGGAGCCCAGAAGCCTTTTCTCTTCTCTCACCTGGCCTCACTCCTGGTGCTGACCACATGAATTTAACTTCTGCCTATAATATGCTTTTATGTTTTTCCTTCTAAGAAAAGAGCTGAGGCCGGGAGCAGTGGCTCATGCCTGTAATTCTAGCACTCTGGGAGGCCAAAGTGGGTAGATTGCCTGAGCTCAGGAGTTTGAGACTAGATTGAGCAAAAGCGAGACCCTATCTTTACTAAAAATACAAAAACTGAAGTAAGAAGATTGCTTGAGCCCAAGAGTTGGAGGCTACTGTGAGCTATGATGCCACGGCATTCTACTCAGGGCAATAGCTTGAGACTTTGTCTCAAAAAAAAAAAAAAAGCTGAAAGAGTTTCTCCGCATACATGAAATGCACTCTAAGCAAAGGGAATATTAAAGATTTTGTGTAATTCTACAAAAGGTTTATCTATGCATGCTTTAACAGGCCTTTAGGTTTGCTTCTGCTTTGCACACACCAGCACATTTATACTATATGTGGTTATAGGCCACCAGCCCTTTGATCACCTGCTAACTCTCAGGCTTCCATTAGCACAGTAGTCCTTAGGTCTTGGCTGGGATGCGGACATGCCCAACATTTCAAAAGCTTTTGCTTCCCCCAAGTTTATCTTAACTTTTCAGAGAAATGAAGGCACCTGCCACCCAAGTAACCAGGTAGAGCAGCAAATAGGTTTTGATCCTTAGAATGTCTAATTACATGCTCAGCGCTCGTCGCACAGTATTTGCGGGCCGGCCACATGCACCAAAGCTGGTGGGTTTGAGCCCAGCCTGGGCCAGCTAAACAACAACGACAACTGCAACAACAACAAAAAAATAGCCAGGCATTGTGGTGGGTGCCTGTAGTCCTAGCTACTTGGGAGGCTGAGGCACGAGAATCGCTTAAGCCCAAGAGTTTGAAGTTGCTGTGAGCTGTCATGCCACAGCACTCTACCAAGGGTGACAAAGTGAGACTCTGTCTCAAAAAAAAGAAAAGAATGTCTAATTACAGAAAATCAACATGACCCAGGTAATTATAACAGCGGCAGTACAGTTTAAGCAAAGACTTTTGAAAATTGAACCACCAGTTTTATGATAATGCTAGAAAGTCCCTTTTTTCCACCTGGCCTTGCAGACCCCTGAATGGTTATGAGGCCATCTAGGAAACGCCATTCCTCCACCCCAAGAGATGAGGCCTCAGGGCAGTACGGAGCTTTGTCTTAAAGGTCCAAAGAGGACTTAAAGGTCTATAGATCTGTGATTTGGGGGTCAGATTATAGTATGAAGCATTAAGTGCTATGTGATCAAAGGGGACTTATTTGTTTATTTTTGTTTCTACAAAGAATTTGAGGCCAATTGCAGGAATACATAGTAGTGTAAAGAGATGAAATAAGTGGCTGAAGAAATCACAGTGAAAATAAAATAAGGATAACACTGGGTGTCTGTCATCTCTTGTACTAAAGGCCCCCACTGTCCATCCCAGCTTGATCCCTCTCAGCCTGTTTTTATCTATCCTGTCCCTCCCTGCAGCTACTTACTCTGATCTGCATAGTTCTTGGCCTTCAGCTCCAGTTGTCGTGTCTGGAACTCATAGTGCTCCACTTGTGTTTGCAGCTCCTTCTTCTCCTGCTCCAAGGCATCTTCAAACTCAATGAATTTCTAAGTGTGGAAAAAAAAAAAAAAAAGAGCAGGTGTTGTGAGTGGGTCACAGCTTCCCTTTAGCTGAAGAGCCACAGGTGTCAACGATCCAGAAATCAAAGATGTCTCTGTTACCTGGAACTGGCCAGTGTGGGACCCAAACAGGTGTCTGCACTTTAGACCTGGGTTCCTGCCACTTCACAGTGCCTATGCTGTGACACAGATGAGTCCTGAGGGTACTGGGGAGCTCTGTACCCTCTTTTCCAGCTAATGGCATCTACAATCTCTGTCCAAAAAAGAACCTAGTGTGAAGGGAGCCTGTCATCTCTGATCAGAGCCACCTGCATGCATATGTGAGATTCAGGCAGTCACTCTGGGTGCCCCATTCAGAAGACCCCATGCTTGCTTTAATGCTCTGCTGTTGCAGTCTTGAATTTTTTTTTTTTTTTTTCTGAGACCATCTCACTTGTCGCCCTTGGTAGAGTGATGTGATATCATAGCTCATAGCAACCTCAAACTCTGGGGCTTAAGAGATTCTCTTGCCTCAGCCTCCCAAGTAGGTGGGACTATAGGCACCTGCCACAGCATCCAGCTGTTTTTCAAGATGAGGTCTCGCTCTGGCTCAGGCTGGTCTTGAACCTGTAAGCTCAGGCAATCCACCCATGTCAGCCTCCCAAGTGCTGGGATTATAGGCATGAACCACCACGTCTGGCTCTAGTCTTGAAATTTTTAATAATCTTTTAATACGGGCCCTGCACTTCCACTTTTGCGCTGAGACTCACAAATTTCGTAGCTGGTCCTATTTGTAATAGAATAGTATAATCCTGTCAATTCTAAACTGGAGCTGGGTCAAGTCTCTTTTTCTGCACCACAGTCATGGCCCAACTCAGTACACCATCACTGCTGGAATAACTGGCAACACAAAGTCTTATTCCCAGTCCTTAAAAAAAAACAGAGAGATTGGTCTAGCATTGGAATCTTAACCTTTCCTGGGAGGTTTGAACAAAATTATTATCAAACCAAATGAAAAGAAAGCACTTTGCAAAATAAAAGAAGCTCCTGAGAGGTCTGAAGAGCATAGTACCACTGGGGCCCTCGTGTGGCCAGGCCTGGGGGCCAGGCAGGGCCCAGGCTGGCCAGGCACAGACACCACCAGGTGTAATTCCTTCAGCAGCCCAGAAGGGGAGCTGTTAAAACCGCGATTTTACTGAGTAGAAAACTGGGGTACACTATCAAGAAATTTCATTTGTGAAAGCCTTACTTTAAATCTTAAAAGTCAAGCAAGGCTTTTAAAAATATTACTGCTATTATTATCGTTTTTACTTTGTAGGGATTTTTAAAAAGTTCTTTTCCCTGGAGTTCTTTTATACTATGCAATTGTTAATGCTTATACATTTACTATTGGCACATATCCATCACAAGTTCCTCTTAGATAAGGAATTGTTGAGTTTTAGATAGAAAACTATTCTAATTTATTAGGTGTTAACAGTGGAAAAATTGATATGTAAACAGTTATACAATGGAATACTTTAGAGTGATTAACATTAATGAACTAGAGTTCTATACATCAATGTTGAAAAATATCACAAAAATATAATAAGAGAACAAATAATTTATATATTGTTTTTGGAATACATGTATGAGTAAATGTTTAAAACATGCAAGGAATAATACCATACAACCTCAAAAAAGTAGTTAATTTGGGGATATGGTAAAAGTTGGGCCCTCTATATGCAGGATGTCCTTAAAATTTGTGTGCAATTTAAATTTTTTTTTTTTTGAGACAGAGCCTCAAACTGTCACCCTGGGTAGAGTGCTGTGGCATTACAGCTCACAGCAACCTCTGACTCCTGGGCTCAAGCAAGTCTCCTGCCTCAGCCTCCCAAGGAGCTGGGACCACAGGCGCCTGCCACAATGCCCGGCTATTTTTTGGTTGCAGCCGTCATTGTTGTTTGGCGGGCCCAGGCTGGATTCGAATCCGCCACCTTAGGTGTATGTGGCTTGCGCCTTAGCCACTTGAGCCACAGGTGCTAAGCCTAAATTTTAAATTTTATTTTATTTTAAATTGCAATTTTATTTATTTATTTTTTTGAGACAGAGTCTCACGACGTTGCCCTGGTTAGAATGCTGTTATGTCACAGCTCACAGCAACCTCCAACTCTTGGGCTTAAGTGATTCTCTTGCCTCAGCCTCCCAACTGTCTGGGACTATAGGCACTCGCCACAATGCCCGGCTATGTTTTTGGTTATTATTATTATTGTTGTTTGGCAAGCCTGGGCTGGATTCGAACCTGCCAGCTCTGGTGTATGTGGCTGGCACCCTAGCTGCTGAGCTACAGGTGCTGAGCCTATATTGCAATTTTAAATGGCACACAAACTTTATGGACACCCTGTACAATACCTATCTCTTCACAAATATAAAATATAAATGACATGATATTTAAGGTCTGATGAACGTAAATGATTGTAATACGAGGATATTATTTTCTATTTTCTGAATGTTTGAAATTTCTGTTATTAAAAAAAGATAAAGATGAGCATTTTGCCAAAAAATTTCATTTGTGGGCGGGTATGGTGGCTCATGCCTGTAATCCTAGCACTCTGGGAGGATGAGGCAGGTGGATTACTTGAGCTTAGGGAGTAAGAGCAAGACTCTGTCTCTACTAAAAATAGAAAAATTAGGCAGGCATTGTGGTGGGCACCTGTAGTCTCAGCTACTCAAGAGGCTGAGGCAAAAGGATTACTCAAACCCAGGAGTCTGAGGTTGCTGTGAGCTATAATGCCTGGCACTCTACCTATTTTTCTGTCTCAAAATAAATAAATAAATAAATAAAATTCATGAGCGGCACCTGTAGCTCAGTGAGTAGGGCGCCAGCCCCATATACCAAGGGTGGCAGGTTCAAACCTGGCCCTGGCCAAACTGCAACAAAAAAATAGCTGGGTGTTGTGGTAGGCGCCTGTAGTCCCAGTTACTCAGGAGGCTGAGGCAAGAGAATCAATCACCTAAGCCCAAGAGCTGGAAGTTGCTGTGAGTTGTGATGCCATGGCATTCTACCAAGGGCAACAAACTGAGACTCTTGTCTTTAAAAAAAAAAATTCATTTGTGACCACGGGCAATGGCTCATGCCTGTAATCCTAGCACTCTGTGAGGCGGAGGAAGGGGACTGCTTGAGATCAAGCATGGAAAATAGCCTTAAGCAAGAGCAAGATCTCATCTCTACTAAAAATAGAAAAAAAATTAGCTGGGTGCAGTGGCAGGTGCCTGTATTCCCAGCTACTTGGGAGGCTGAGGCAAGGGACCATTTGAGCCCAGGAGTTTGAGTGAGCTATGATGCTATGGCACTCTACCTAGGGTGACAGAGTGATACTCTGTCACAAAAACAAAACAAAACAGCCCCCCAAATAAAAACAAAACAAAACAAAAAGAAACCCAAAATAAATACAAAACCCAGAAATTTCATTTTTAGGAAGCATCAGTATCAGCTGAGTTCTTAAGACATAGAGTTTCTCAGAAGATGTTTATATAAAACTAATGGTTGATTTTAGGTTTAGGGTATCTGGAAGAGTAAGTTAATCTGTGGTATCCACAGCTGTGTTCATATAACGACTCCAGCCAGTCAGTCCCCTACCCACATAACAGGCCCCCAGACACTTCTTCCTATAGCAGCTTCTAAAAAGGTCTTTCTGATGAAAACCACTGGGGCGCCTGCCCAGAGGATGACTCATTCTGTGCAGCAATAGATAGGGTAGAAAATCCCCGGGAGAGGGCTGGGGAGAGGTAGACAGGGGCGAGGCAGCATCAGGAGGTCTGCATCAAGGCATCACATGCAACCTGAGTAAAATGCAAAAACACAAACACCCCACAGCCAGGAAAATGCACGATTTTTTGTGTAGCCATAGGAAAAAATAAAAATAAGTGGTTTTGAATTAACCGTGAATACAACTTGCATGTGAAGAACAAACAAATGCTATTAAATGACTGACAAGGATATTTTAATAGGGTAATTTTAATTTCTAGTACTTAAAGGTAGGGTGCCGGCCCCATATACTGGAGGTGGTGGGTTCAAGCCCAGCCCCGGCCAAAAAAAGCAAAACTGCAACAACAACAACAGAATTACGCAAACATATGTTTTTGCAGAAAAATCAAATTAAAAGAGGAATATATTTTTAACAGCCTAACACTACCATCTAGAGAATCAGTTAAAAGTATGTGCTGCTCTTTCAGATATGTGCGTGTACGGAGGGCAGATGTGCCATCGTTTTGTACATAGTATTGCGTGACTTGATTGAGCCTCTCATTTCTATTGGAGAGTCCTTCCACACCAGTAAATGTACCTGCTACTGCCATGAAAACACGTGTATATTATGCTGTGAGTACAACTAGAGCATATGACTTTCTGCTGGGCTTCCAGGATGCTTTAAAATGCTAGTATCATCTACTGGCTTCCTGCTCTCTGAGGCCTCTTCAGAGGGTATCCTGATTCATGCTCCCCTAAACAAAGTGGGCAGAGATCTTTTCCAGGACTCTTGTCATTTCTGCACAGAGTTAAACAACATCTCTGCCACCTGCCAGTGGGACTTGGCACGGTGTCATTGTTTAAATCTTAGGTTCTCTGGTTACTAGTGATATTAACATTTCTCACAAATCTGCTGGTCACATGGACGACTTCTCTGGTCATAGCTCATTCTGTTCATGTTTTTATTATTGATTTATAAGGACTTTCTAGGACCCTGTCTCTTTTTTATACTGCAAGTGTTTTTTTCCCAGACTGTAGTTTGGGTGTAGATGTTGTCTTAGTACTTATTAACTTACCCTTTCTCCATCACTTTGAGACACTAGCTTTGTCACACGCTAAATTCGAGTATGTATTTCAGCCTGTTATGAACCAGTACCAGAGGTTTTTTAAAAAACTTGGCATTGTGGTGTTATAGTATCTTTCTTTTTAGAGACAGAGTCTCACTTTGTCCCCCTTGGTAGAGTGCTTTGCATCATAGCTCACAGCAACCTCAAACTCTCGGGCT